ACTTAGTGGTGGCTGACGCATGCGGGCGGTGCCACTAGGGCGGTCGATGGAGCTCCCTATGGGGCCACGAAGCGCTGTTCTGGGTGGTGGCTTGCGCATGCGGGCGGTCCTACTGGGACCTTCGCAGGAGCTCCCTGTGTGGCCACGAAACGCTGTGCTGGGTGGTGGCTGACGCGCGCGGGCGGTGCCACTGGGGCCTTCGGTGGAGCTCCCAATCAATGAGGCCGCGAAGTGCAGTATTGGGTGGTGGACGACGCATGCGGGCGGTGCCACTGGGGCCTCCGGTGGAGCCCCCTATGGGGCCACGGAGCGCTGTACTGGGTGGTGGCTGACGCATGCGGGCGGTGCCACTAGGGCCGTCGGTGGAGCCCCCTATGCGGCCACGAAGCGCTGTGCTGGGTGGTGGCTGACGCATGCGGGCGATGGCACTGGGGCATTCGGTGGAGCTCCCTATGGGGCCACGAGACGTGTGAGGGGTGTGCCGAAATGGATGTGGGTGACGCATGCGGGCGGTGGACGGGGGAGGGCGAGGAGTAAGGAACGCGGGGACGGTCTCTTCAAAATAGTGGACCCAACACCACCGGATGGTTGGGAATAATGGTACTTGCGATTGCACGTGTTGCTATCTGCATCGTGCAACTCACGTGGTGTCATGTATGTGATGATACACGGTGGTGGCTCAACATCTGCGTGCAAGCTGTTGTGGGCAACCCACGCGGTGCACAGTCTAATATTTGTGTACACGTATACACCCACATATACATATATATATATATATAGTGACGCATACATCTACTACACACGTCGATGTGACGGTTTCTCCTAATGGTGAAATAAGCGTTTTAATTGTGAAATAGAAATCTTAATGGTGAAATAGAATTTCTTAATGGTGAAATAGAATACCTTAATGGTGAAATAAAATACCTTAATGGTGAAATAAAATACACCACGTAAACACACCACGCAAACACCACGCAAAAACACCACGTAAACCGCCGCTCCAGCGGCGCATGCAAACACCACGCAAAAACACCACGTAAACCGCGACCCACCCCACGGCGCCCCTGCGCCGCTCCAGCGGCGCACGCAAACACCACGCAAAAACACCACGCAAAGACTCCCCGCTCCACAACGTAAACCGCGACCTGCCCCACTGCGCTCCTGGGGTGCTGCAGCGGCGCTGCAGCGGGCTGCAGCGGCGCTCCAGCTGCGCTCCTGCGCCGCTCCAGCGGCGCACGCAAACACCACGCAAAAACAACACGCAAAAAACAACGTAAACCGCGACCCGCCCCACTGCGCCCCTGCGCCGCTCCAGCGGCGCACGCAAACACCACGCAAAAACACCACGCAAAAACACCACGTAAACCGCGACCTGCCCCACTGCGCCCCCGCGCCGCTCCAGCGGCGCACGCGAACACAACGCAAAAAAAACACACCGTAAACCGCGGCCTGCCCCACGGCGCCCCTGCGCCGCTCCAGTGGCGCACGCAAACACCACGCAAAAACACCACGCGGAAGCAAAAAAAAAACACCACGCAAACCGCGACCTGCCCGACGGCGCTCCGGCGCCGCTCCAGCGGCGCACGCAAACACCACGCAAAGACACCACGGAAACCGCGACCTGCCCCACGGCGCCCCTGCGCCGCTCCAGTGGCGCACGCAAACAACGCAAAAACACAACGCAAAAACACAACGTAAACCGCGACCTGCCCCACTGCGCCCCTGCGCCTCTCCAGTGGCGCACGCAAACACCACGCAAAAACACCACGTAAACCGCGACCCGCCCCACGGCGCTCCGGCGCCGCTCCAGCGGCGCACGCAAACACCACGCAAAAACACCACGCAAAAACACCGCGTAAACCGCGACCTGCCCCACGGCGCTCCGGCGCCGCTCCAGCGGCGCACGCAAACACCACGCAAAGACACCACGTAAACCGCGACCTGCCCCACGGCGCTCCCGCGCCGCTCCAGCGGCGCACGCAAACACAACACAAAAACACAACGTAAACCGAGACCTGCCCCACTGCGCCCCCGCGCCGCTCCAGCTGCGCACGCAAACACCACGCAAAACACACACAACGTAAACCGAGACCTAGCGGCGCACGCAAACACAGCGCAAAAACACCACGTAAACCGCGACCAGGGGCGTTGCAGCGGCACTGCAGCGGCGCTCCAGCTGCGCCCCTGGGCGCCCTGGCGCCGCTCCACGCATAGCAAAAAAAAAGCACCACGTGAACCGCGACCTTCCCCACTGCGTCCCCGCGCCGCCCCAGCGGCGCACAAAAACACCACGCAAAAACACCACGCAAAAACACCACGCAGAAAAACACGCCGCGTGAACCGCGACCTGCCCCACTGCGTCCCCGCGCCGCCCCAGCGGCGCACAAATACACTACGCAAATACACCACGCAAAAACACCACGCAAAAACACACCACGTGAACCGCGACCTGTCCCACGGCGCTCCGGCGCCGCCACAGCGGTGCAAAAAAACACCACGCAAAAACACCACGCAAAAGCACCACGTGAACCGCGACCTTCCCCACTGCGTCCCCGCGCCGCCCCAGCGGCGCACAAAAACACCACGCAAATACACCACGCAAAAACACCACGCAGAACAAAAAAACACGCCGCGTGAACCGCGACCTGCCCCACTGCGTCCCCGCGCCGCCCCAGCGGCGCACAAATACACTACGCAAATACACCACGCAAAAACACCACGCAAAAACACACCACGTGAACCGCGACCTGTCCCACGGCGCTCCGGCGCCGCCACAGCGGTGCAAAAAAACACCACGCAAAAACACCACGCAAAAGCACCACGTGAACCGCGACCTTCCCCACTGCGTCCCCGCGCCGCCCCAGCGGCGCACAAAAACACCACGCAAATACACCACGCAAAAACACCACGCAGAACAAAAAAACACGCCGCGTGAACCGCGACCTGCCCCACTGCGTCCCCGCGCCGCCCCAGCGGCGCACAAATACACTACGCAAATACACCACGCAAAAACACCACGCAAAAACACACCACGTGAACCGCGACCTGCCCCACTGCGTCCCCGCGCCGCCCCAGCGGCGCACAAAAACACCACGCAAACACACCACGCAAAAACACCACGCAAAACCGCTACGTGGTGTTTTTGCGTGGTGTTTTTGCGTGGTGTATTTGCGTGATGTCTAATTCACCCTCCAGCGTTCGCGTGGTGTTTTTGCGTAGTGTTTTTGCGTGGTGTATTTGCGTGGTGTTTTTGCGTGGTGTCTGATTTCACCATTAGGATGAACTCTCCGTCGATGTAGACATGGGCAAGCCACGTGGTGCATCCTATGTAGCGTAACATGTCCCGTACAACCTATGTCGTGCAATACACGTAGTGCAGTGTATGATGTGCGAGTTTGACGCAACCTATGCGACGCAAGTAAGCGTGAAGAGTTCGAAGTCGTCACTTCCATTACTCTTGCAAGCTTCCCACCATTCCACCCGCAACTTGCTTGTAAGACTCACACAATCCGCGAGTGAAGTTAGTTACACAGCGGATCATGATCGTGAACTTGGAGTGGCACGGTGATGCGCGTACCATGCCCATGCAGATGCACGGTTCGGGCGGGCCAGTGATGATGGTGACGACAATATCGGCGACGACGTAGATGATGGTGATGGTTATGATGATGGCGGTGTTGATGATGATGATGATGATGATGATGATGATGATGATGATGATGAGGGCGACAACATTGCCGATCAATGGAGGTGGGGGTTACTACGACGACGATGGTGATGATGATGATGACGCTGATGATCGCAATGATAATGCTGGTGATAATGAAGATGACGATTGTGCCGATGAGGATGATGAGGAAGCGCGCGCGCAAATTCACAAGCGAATCGCTTATTCATCGAAGAGCAATTGGGTTCCCATATGTGTGTTGACCACGGCATTGAAAGGTTCGGGAAAATCGTTTGGCAAGGACTTCGACGTGCGAGCGGAGACGCGAGCGTATGGCCCGCGCTGCGTTATCTGGCAGAATTGGCGGGTGCGCGATGGTTTTTGAATGATTTCTATATGTACGCGCGTGTGGCCCACATGGGCTCAGTTGACACATTGGCGGTAGAACGGCATTGTCCTTGATTGCTGTTAGAATAGCTATGTCCTCAAGTTGTTCGGAAGCCCATGGTTCTGAATGATTACGACACGCGCGCGTGCAATGGCGCGCGCATGTGGCCCGCAGTGTACCATTTGATAGGGATGGTTGCAAAACGCACTTCTTAAGAACTTCTTGAATCAACGCATGTGCACCGCATTGTTTCTTTTCAGGAGATGGCGGGGGAGGGCGCTACCAACCTGGCTGGGATCGGATGGATCGTTCTATGCACAACGGGCATGACAAAAGACTTCGTTGAGGGGGACCATAACCCCGGCCCTGGGGTGAGGGTAGAGTTGAATGATTGCATCCTGAGACGCAAGCCAGCGCACGAGAGGGCCCACGAGGCGGCCACGGACGACGCCCGGGCGAAAACCCTGGACCCAGGCGCCGCAAGCGGCGGCCACGAGGCGGCCACCAGCGACGACCAGGCGAAAGCCCGGGGAACTCAGCCAGCGCACGAGGCGGCCACGTGGCGGCCGCGGACGACGCCCGCGCGAAAACCCAGGGAAGCCAGCCAGCGGACGAAGTGGCCACGTTGCGGCCACGGGCCTGGGCAATGCCAAGAGGGGGTTGCCTTAGGGGGGTCGCCACCTCGCCGAGGAGGACGACCACTAAGGACCCCCAAAGCACACCAGAAGTCCTCCAAAGGCTCGAAATCGGCGAGCATCTCCTCGACCCTTGACCATCGAGCCTCGATCCTCAGGAGGATCTGGCGACCCCCTTAGTGGCGACCCCCTTTGGCATTACCTGACGGGCGACAATTCGGCCAAAACCTGGTGAAAACACCTGCACCTAGTAGAGAAGCAAATAAGATCCCTTAAGTGCAACCACAGGGGAAATCTTGTCCTCCTTGAGGACCACGGTCCACGTTTCTTGCGACATCGCGGAGCCTTTGCGCGACCCCGACGTGGCGGAGTTCGACATGGAAACGTTGAAGCCTTGGGCGTCATACTGCAACAAGATGCACAGGGGCGGCCGCATGAGCTTCCGAGGTCCCAACGTGACGCTCGGTTTCATGATTCGACCGACGGCAATATGTGCCCTGGGCACAGCTGCAGCCCAGTTCACCCGCGGGTTTCTCTTCTACTGGTTCGTCGGGCGCATCTTCAACGAGGTGGACCTTTACGGCTTTGACGGGGACGGCCACTACGACAGCAGCGGGCAGGTTTGGGAGGGCTACTTGGAGTTCGAGCACCTGGTGTATTCCCTTGCCGTGGCTGGCACCGGGCATGGTTCCGACGTCAACCGCAGGACCACGAGCCAGTGGACCACCTCCACGACCACGTCGACCTCTGCGCCGCGTGACCCGGGTGACGTCACCGAGGTCTCTGTGGCGAAGGCGTGAGGGGGGGGGGGCACTCTTGCGCGATCCATGGGAGGGGGTGTGCGCGGGTGCATACTCAGAAGGCATCGCCACCAGCTCACAGGCCATGTCGACGGCATCCGAGGTCAGTCCCAGTCCTCTGGCGAGAGGGGAGGGGGGATGCACTTTGTGCGCCGCGATCCATAGGAGGGGGGTGGGGGGGGAGCGGGTGCAGATACAGAAGGAAGGCATCGCCACCAGCTCACAGGCCATGACGACGGCCTCTGAGGTCGCTCCCAGGCCTCTGGCGTCGTGTTTCTTTTTTGTGTTGGCGCACACACGCAGACACACGCACGGAGCTCTCGACACCATCCCTAGAATAAGTGGTTCGCCCAGGGTCGCTCTTCATGGTCCCAAAAGGGTTGGTGTTGCGGAGAAGCGCCGTAGACAAGCCAGCATACGACGTCGAAAAGGTTTGGATCCAAGGTCAGCGTTTTCATTCTTGAATTTGAAAGCAGTGTATCGCGGGCGGACAGCATATCCGCATCCACAGCCTCGTGGGCCGTAGTTAGTGTAGTTAGGCCTTTTCCGTTCGCCCGGCCTGCCAAGGGCAAAGTCACCCGAGGGCTGGCCGAGCCGTCGCGCGGCGTGCCGTCACCCAGTGTGGCCGCACGCTTGCCCGCATTTGTCGCACAGGGCCTGCACCCAGCAGTGTCCCTTCATTCATCGGCGGCGAGCGAGGGGAGGAAGTGAGAAGGACACGGTCTTCTCAGAAGGCGGCGGGGCTTCTGAAAAGCCCTCTCGCGTGCTGAGAGGTTTCTCCTGCGTCTTCTGGGAAGGCTCTGAAAACTTCTCCGAAGGCCCGAGGCATTCCGCGCCTTTAGGGAAGGCCCGCCTCTTCTCACTTCTCCTCCCTGCGCGCCGCCGACATTGACCTCAGGGACAATGTTAGGGGGGGATAGGTTCAGGGGTGACTGCATCGACTCCCAATCGCCCATTCATCACCGATGGAGGCCAGCCCATACCGCCCAGGAGCTCGTATGTCCGCTATCGGAGGTCTATCGCCGAGCTCTCTTCTATGTATCGCCTATTCAAGTTCGATGCCCCCGCCCCTGAGTTGGTCCCACCCCTGACTTTGCCTCTCAACTGTTCGCCCCAAGACATCCCTGTTGTCGGAGGAGGCGATACAGCGGCGGCCCTCCCTGGCGTTTCTCGTTTGGTTTGGCCCCCTTGGAAGCTTCTCGTCGCCACCGCTGGATCCGCCTCGAAGAACACGTAGATCAGGATGGACCCCAGGAAAAGGGTCCGGGGACAGATTTTTCGCGGATTCGGATGGGGCGGGAGAGCCGCCGTTTTTTCGATAGGCGTCTCCGATGTTGCCGTATGCGGCTCTCGCTTCAGTGCCGCGCGCATTCGTTTCAAACATTTGCAAGAGCTTCACGGATTTAGGGCGGGTCGTTTTTGAAATGTGTTTCTCGCTTTAGCGCCGCACACATTCGTTTTGCAAGAATTGCAGGAGCGTCATGCATTGAGGGCGGGCCGCTTTCAAAATGTGGTTATCGCTTTAGCGCCGCGCGAATTCTCGTCTTTAACATTTTCACGAACTTCACGGATTGAGAGGGGGTCGTTTTCAAAATGCGGTTCTCGTCTTAGCGCCGCGCACATCGGTTTTTGAACACTATGCGCAAGAGTTGTATTGGCTTCCATGGTTAATTTACCAGAACTGGTTGTTGGGAGCGATTCTGGATTGTCGAGGCGAAACAGTTATGTCGATTCACGGTGTTGAAGTCCCAGGAATGGCTTTCTGGCACGATTCAGGATCGTCAAGACGCAGCAGTCAGATTGATCCGTGGCGTTGAAGTCCTGAGAATGGTGTTCTGGCACGCTTCAGGATTTTCACACGGCTGTCCCCGAACAGGGCACTTCCCTCAGTGGAAGTGAACCCTTTTAGGGGCCTATGAAGAGGGAGCTTGGAGGGAGGGTGTATTCCAACATCGTTGATGAGTCTTGGGTTGACACTGGTCCTCCTCCTCCTCCTCTTTTCTTCAACCAGTGCCAAGGGGGTCACCACTCGGGGGACCGCCAACTCATCTAGCAAATGGCCCCCCCTCAGAGCCCCCCCCAGGACCTCCAAAGAGGACCAAAAAAGTTTAGACAATCTTCGATCTTTCGATACTCGATTTTCGATCTTGATATTCGATCTTTCGATTTGTCCTGTTCCTCAATCCTGGATGTTTCGAAGGAGGTATGACCCCTCTGGTAGTGACCCCCCCCTTGCACTGCCTGGTCTTCCCCCCCGTCCTCTTGATCCTTCTCGCTCGAAGGCCAGAGCACAGGGTCCTTTTAGATTCGACCGATCCGATCCCACATCGATTCCGACCGGCGTTCCGACCGGCCCGATCCGATTCGGCCGTGGCATTCCGAGGATCCGATGCGGCCCGATGCTTGTACAGTGGAGGCCCATGCCAAGAAACAACCTGCTTACCTCCAGGCTGCCCTGGGTTTCTTGGGTTTTGATGGTTTTGCGATGGAAAGCGCGACGTTCCCACGCCAAAGATCAATGGACGTCCTGGGGTCTCAGGGTTGGGTTTCTTGTGGAAGGTTTCTTGTGGACTGGCCCCTACTGTATCTTGGCGCGGTCGATCCGATTCGGTTCCAACTCCGTGCCGACGCAGCCCGATCCGACACACGTCCCGCTTCGATCCGATTTCCCGACCCGATGCTGGCTGATCCTATCTCCCTGGCGCTTGCCATGGACTGTGGTGCCCTCTCCCTTCGGCTACGCGTGAGAGTGTCCCTTCGCCGGAGTGACTGCTGGTTCCCAGCTCTGGGGCCTCCGTGCTTGGAGTCTGCCCCCCCTCGGCCCCCTGAAGCTGCGCACCAGAGGTCATGTCTTGCCCAGGGTCACTCTCGCGCGCAGCCGACCGCTTGGCATCTTCCTCCAGCTCCCGGGCGTGGCCAGCAGTATACATCAAGGTATACGAGCGGCCGGGCGCCCACAGAAGTTGTTTGGGGCCGCGAGTGTGTGGTCGACGTGTCGTTCTGGCCGCCGCTGCAGCTGTGAGGCAGGACGCGACGATCAATACTGGCTTTTTTGTTCGCAGTTGACCCTCCCAGACATCCAACGTCATGGAAAAAATACAGAAGACGGAAGTCTCTCGTCGTTGTCGGCGTCTGGGGGCCCTCGAAACCAGCCCCGCAGAAAGAGTCGGGACGCCCGGCGAGCCCGCATGGAAAAAACTAGGAACCGGATGTTCGAGTTCGTTATACAGTTGTGCAAGCATGGATGCCATGCCGCCCGGTGTACAGTATCCAGTGGCCTTCGGCCCATCTCGAAAGTGCGCTTGGGTTGTGGGTCGGAGGCGTTCGGGATACTTCTTGAAGTCTCTTGGGATGCCCGCTGGGAGCCTGTTGGACGCTTCTTCGGGGCCTTCGTTGGAGCTTCTGGGGATCTCTGGGAGTCTCTGGGAACGTCCTGGAGGTCCGTCGGAGGTCAAGTCAAGCAGCGGCGAAGCCTCCTTGTCTGCGTGTAGACCCGCCAAGAAAAGGATCACGAGCCTTCCTCGTTGTTGTGCTACTTGTTACTTAAACTCGTCTACCTGGAACAGTATTGCTTTAGGTACGGCACTGGTTTAATATCGTAAAAAGTGCTGCATTTTGTTATGAAGACATCGCTTAGCTCTGTGAACCATGGTAGGCCTGTCGGGACTACGGTCCCTGCTCAATCAGGGGCGTCCTTTCACAAGAGGGCTCCCGTGGGGCCCCTTCGGGCTCACCCTTCAGCCCCAAAGACTTTGAAAACGAAGTGGTTGTGCAATGACTTGGGGGGCTCGAGGAAGATCAGGTTACGCAGCCCCAGGAGCGCCCGAGGATCCCGTGAGCTGGGAGCTGGGGGTCCTAAAATAGTATTTACAACATTTGCCGTTGAGGACGCGAAAGAACCTGAGGACACTCCACCTGGTGCCCTTGGCATGGTGGTGGATATTCTTTTTTCTTTTTCCCAAACATTCGACGGCTCGGGAAAAATGGAATGGCCAGCTGTTCTACATGCTGGATCTTCGGAGGCCAGTTCGGCGCACCAGAACCGAGAAAAAACGACCCAGGATGCAAAGCCGGCATGGACGGAAGGGGTCGAGAGGATGGAGGGACCATATCTCTGGGTCCCAGCCCGCCGAAGAGGTAATATTGTGTCTGTTGGGTTCATGACTTCTTGGTTTCATCTTCTGCCCTCCTCAGGGCGGCGCGCCTAGGACGGGAGGCAGAGGGAGCGGGCTTATTCAGAAGGCTCAGAAGGCTTCCAGCCTTCTGAGAACCTTCGAGGCCTTCTCCGAACGCACGGGGCTTCGCAGAAGGACCGCGGGCTTCTGAGAAGCTGCGCCGCCTTCGAGGAGGCCCGCGCCCTCTCATTTCCCTCCCCTGCAAGAGCCGGCACAAATCCGCACCATCGTCGCGTTGGCACGCAGTGTCTGAAGGTGTTCTGATTCTGATGCTATCGTTGCGAGGTTGCGGAGAGTAACCCTCGCCACCACGGCAATCTATTCGGGGGAGGATGAATGGCCACCGCCCCCGGGCGCGTACCTCGTCCCAGATGAGCTTGTCTGTCGGAGTGGTGTGCAAAAGCCATGTCCTTAGGGTCAAGTCGGGCGTGTCGCTGTACAGGAGGAAGATCCAAAATAGTCGACAAGTAGTCTGGGGACGATTTGTCGAGTACTTTCGACTATGTTTGAGCATTGTTTGCGTATGTTTGATGTGCCGCCCCAAATCCGCCTGTCGAGGGACACGCCCGACCTCCCTGTGGGCGTGGTGTGCAGAAGTCGGCTTCCCCTCCCCTGCAGGCTTCCCCTCGGCGCGCTGCCGCTCCTCCGCTCGCTCCAAGCCTCTCGCGCACCGCGCCAGCCCGCTCCTCCTCGTGCTCCCCGCCTCGCGGACTCGGAGGGCGCGCCCCTGCTTCGGTGGCTCAAAGATGGGGCCTTGAGGTTGCGTCGGGCGTGTCCCTCTACAGGAGGAGTACTCAAGAATATTTTAAAAAATAGTCAGGCGAC